GGGGGGGGTCTTGAACTAATGTAATATTACACTTTTGTGAGGTGAAAAAATATTTTTGACATAATAATGAACACTGCCTTTGTTGATGATAACTAATTTCACTTTTTGTTTTCAGCATAATGATCAGTAATAACAGATACAGTGGAATCCTAATAGTCAACTTGCTTTAAGTCAACTCTTGCTTACAGTTAACACCTCACTGTGGTCCCGTTTTTTGCCTTCCTTGTTTAGGTAATTTTAAGTAGATCTAATTGTGTTTCTGATTCAGTCAGCCGCTTGAGTGTTAAGCTTGCGTAAAGTCAACAATTTGGTGCTAAATACCAAGATGAATTCATTTAACTAAGAAGAGATATTTCGCCTGAGCTAGTGGTGTACACACCTCCAATTACTCTGTTCTTTCATTATCTCTTGTTTTGGTGACAACTTCAGAATTATACTCCCTGAAATTGAGATTACATCTTTTTTATTACCAGGTACTTTGTAATTTGGTAGCTGTCATCTTCCATTTTCAATGGCCAGTAGTACAATGGATAAAGTCAGCCTTGCTCAAAGTCAACACTTTTTTTCTGTCCGGGGTGTTGACTTTATCAGAATTCCACGGAAACTTGTTTTATTTGTAATTAAGGCGCTTTTGTCATTGACATGAGTCTCAATTCTTTCTTTTTTTTGAAAGAAAGAGTGTATGCTAATTTTTGTTTGAATGATTTACTCTGTGAGGCGCCGTGGTGAAATCAGGCGCTCGTCAAAATAATGAAAGTGGAAAAACTGGCTTTTCCCCGCATGTTTGGGAACTTTTATTCATTTTTTTTTCTCCGCTAAACACCTTTTACGTTCATATAATAACAAATTTCCATGCGAATTTTACTGAAAAACGTTCATTAAAAGCAAAAAATATGTGATGTTTCAGTTCTAAAGGCTCTCAAGCTATTAAAGTTATCAAACTTTTGCGTCCGTTTTCTCACTAAATTTACCTCTGAAATGAGGTAACCCACATCTCTTTCAATCGCAAATATTTCGACTTCTATTTAGCATACATGAATATCGTTTTCATCAAAAGGAAGGCAAATGGTCAGGCTTTAAGATGATAGCAATAACTCCGTATGCTTTAAAACTGACGAGCGCCTGTTCCCACCATGTCGAGACACCTATTCATTTTTTGTGCATATATTATTATGTGCATGTATGTGTGTATGCACGTTTTTCTTGAATATTATGCAATGCGCATAGAACAAGGATTGTTTTACGAATTTGCGCGATATAAAATAATATATCATATTTTTATCATTATAAGCGAACAATGTAATATTGGGGCCCGGGGGGGGGGGGGGGGGGATTATATTTGAACAGCCCCTTAGAAATGGGTTTGTTTACTAAACGTAAAAAAGACAAAGGAACTAATAATAGACTTAAGAGTAAAAAAAAGACCAATTGCAATAACTATTTATTAAAGATGAGGAGGTTGAGGTGGTAAGCTCTTACAAGTTTCTTGGTGTAACAATTGATAATAAATTTGACAGGCATCCCCACGCTGCTCTTATGCATAAACAGTAAATCAAAGAAAGTTCCTTTTCAGGAAATTAAGAAGTCTCCGTGTTGATAAAAAGATTATGTCCCTTTTATACCATTTTATGATTGAAAGCGTGCTATTATTTTGTATTTGCTGCAGGGCTGGGAATTGTAGGGTAAAAGATAAAGAAACATTTGACAGAACCGTTAAGAAAGTCAGCAAGATCTCTGGATATGATTTTACTAGAATTGATTAAATGTATAACACCACAAGTATTAAAAAGATAAAAGGCATTATAAACTACCCATCACACCTCCTTTCCATGCAAATTGTCAGATCATGCAGCGGCAGATATGTACCTCTAAAACAAAGAAAGAAAGATATAAAATAAGTTTTTTACCAACTAGCATAAGGCTATTGTCAGAATAAGCATAAATGTGTATTGCTCTTTAGAGTATGTATACTCCTAAGGTCTTGTAATTAAATTCCTGCATGTGGTTGAATGATGCATCTGATCTGATAAAAATATGCACATTTTGTCAGCTTTACTTTTCTTTTCATATATTGAACTTTAATGAGAGTAATCTATAATTCAAATTTTTCATGTATACCTGCATAATATTATGTTTTTACGGTCCTGTACAGCCAAGAAAAATTTCCCTCTGGGATAATAAAGTAGTACCGCGTATCTTATCTTATCCTATCTTATATTATGTTTCCATGACAACAACAGCACCATCAGACACAGACGTTTCCATGACAACTACAACACCATCAGAATCAGACGTTTCCATGACAACACCATCAGACTCAGACGTTTCCATGACAATGACAACTGCAACACCATCAGTCTCAGACATTTCTATGTCAACAATAATACCATCAGTCTCAACTACCTCTCACGTCAATCATGGAGATCTACAAAGCAGGCAAGATTAGAACCGTTATGATGCTGAGAGAATCAAGGGATCAAGATATTTGCGACAAACCTCCAGGTATCAAAACAGCCAGAAAGTGGAAGGCAGAAGTTGCTACTGACGAGATCATCTGTGCATTGGAGCATGGCGACATTGTCAGTCCAGCACAACCTGACAGATTGGGGCTAGGTAATGGCGACTTTAGACCTTCCAGGAAAATGTCTCAGCGAGACAGAAGAAAAGCTGCAAAAAGACATATGCGAAAGATGGAGGCTGAGAGGCGAGAAGTTTATCTCATCCAGTGTAGCCGGCAAGGACAGAAGACCAGATGGGAAGAGCATGTAGTCGAAAGAAAAGTTGGTTGGAGTAACATCTGGAAGTGGAACACATCTAGATGTAGACTAAGCTTTCATCTCCGGTCTACGTATGATGTTTTGCCTTCACCAGTGAACCTGGTCAGATGGAAGGCACGAGAGGTTAACACGTGTAGATGCGGTAAGCTTGGAACCACAAAGCATATTTTGTCAAATTGCAACCTGGCTCTTAACAGATACACCTGGAGACACAACAATGTGCTGAAAGTGCTCACCACGATGGTGACAAAACAGGTGGAAGAAGGAAAATACGCCCCCAAGTCAAAGAAGCATGGACTAACCAAGATTGAGTTCGTTCTGCAAGGAAGCAAGGTTCCCAACAGAAAGAAAGGAAACAAAGCTATGAAAGACCAGAGCGGAGGTACATGGGAGGTAGCTGCTGACTTATAAGGCTTCGGGAGATTCTTCCCCATCCCAATAACAAAAAAGCCAGACTTAGTGTTATGGGAGGAAAAAGAGAAAGAGGTGCACCAGTGGAGCTCACGGTGCCTAACGAAAACAATATAAATGCTGCACATGAGCGGAAAGAAAACCGATGTGAGGCGCTTGTCGAAAACTGAGAGGAGGCAGGTTGGAAAGCAACCCACTTTCCGGTTGAGTTGGATGCAGAGGTTTCGTAGCAATTAGAGTCCGAAAGTGGATGAGAGTTGCAGGACTTGCTGCAAAGAAAAGTAACGAACTCATAAATTCCCTACAGGAGACAGTAGACAAAGCCAGTCACTGGATCTGGTTGAAGCGAGAGGACGCAGGCTGGAATGAATCCTAAGAGTTGGCAGCAGAGATAAGCTGTAGATCTAGAGAGGAAGAGCCCGGAACAGAGACGCATTCTCTCCTGATGATCTCCATGCTAGAGTCCGGGATACGGAGCTTTCAGCTGTGAGCAGTGCATACGTCTGTTTTAGACTATGTTTCCATGACAACTACAACACAATCCCTCCATCAGACTCATACGTTTCCATGTCAATTACAACACCATCAGACTCCGATGTTTCCATGACAACTACAGTAACATCAGACTCCGATGTTTCCATGACAACCACAACACCATCAGACTCGGATAGTTCCATGGCAACAATAATACCAGCTCACCAGAAGACACCCCCGTGGGCCCACCTCTTTGTAATGCCTCATTTTGAAGAACGTTCAAAAATTGTTGATTGTCAAAACTATAATCTCTTTAGATTCTCTCTATTATACACAATACATGTATGTTGAGCATATTCAAGGGAAACGGAGAGATATTTGAATTGGATGAAATCATCATTCATCGGCAACTGAGAGCTTTGTTATGAAAAAGGCAGATCTACTTCCGAACTGAGGACATTGGAAAAATCCCTTTATTTTGCAATAATTTTTTTGTTATTTGGAAAGAATATCAACTACTGTAATAATAAACTTTTATCAACAAGAAACCTGCATATTATGATTAGTTTTGAGTTGTCAGCTTATTCGGAAAAAACACACAAATTTTGGGGAGGTGGGGGTATTTGAACCCCCCCCCCCTCGCCCAAACAACAAACAAACAAACAAACAAAAAACAAGCAAAAAACAAACCTATGAAAACTAATCTTATGCTTTGTTGACCGAACGTTGCAAAAATATAGTTATTAAGGCAGAATGCACAATTTGAACCTGATTAGTCAAAAAATGTGGAAGCATCAGTTAGTATTTTCATTAATAGGGACCTAAGACCTAACGAAATGAGACAATTTACGGAATCTGTTAGAAACTTGATGATTGTCTCAGAATAGAATTGCTCACTTTAAAAAGTTTTAAAAGTCGGGATTAATAAAAAAATTTAAAAACAAATTACCGATCAACGGTGTTGTATTACGAACATTTTACTTTCATAGAAGTTCCAAACGACAGGATACAACTTTATTACTTTAGGAGTGGATCTATGCGTTTTAGCATTCACTGCATCATGTATAACATTTACCTGGTATATTATAGATTCCTCTTCTGTAAGCAGACAGTCCTGGAAGTTGACGCCAACACTATATGCTCAGGAATCTCGAGCAAACTTTATAGCCAGTACTTCTAGGGGCTTCTAAGAAATTGAACCGGAGCTGTGATTATCTTTGGTTGAGCCGGAGCACTTGAGCGCTACGTTTAATGTCATTTATTACTATTATTATTATTATTATTATTATTATTATTATTATTAATATTCATTCGTGCTTGTGAGAGCACGGGCTCTGGTTACTGGTCACTAGTCAAGCGATGGCGACCTCAGAACGACAAGGATCTAACTGGGAACTTGTTATGTTGTAATTTTTGCGGTGGAAGAATCCCCACCCCCCCACCCCCCCCCCTCCTGCCCGAATCCCACATACCAAAACAATTTCAAATACATTACGACTTGTAAATCTAGTCCTTTATTTTCACAGTCAAAAACTTGATAATTTTGTTCTTCACTTCAGAAAAAATGGAATGTGACTGACAAACCTTTCAACTAAAAAATCTCAAAAACAATTGTGGCTGAGATAAAACCTTGTTGTTCTGAGGTCAGACAGTGATGACGTATCCTCCCCCCACCCCACCCCCACCCCCACCTCCACACCTGGCACCTCGGCCAGAGATAAGACCAGTCACGAGAACCCCAGAGTGTTCAGCCTCCCGAGGCCGGCCCCGCTGACTTAGATTAACCCTCTCACTGTGGCCAGCCCACATGGATTAACCCTCTCACTGTGGCCAGCCCACCTGGATTAACCCTCTCACTGTGGCCTGTCCGGTTGGATTAACCCTCTCAGTGTGGCCGGCTCGGCTGGATTACAGCAACTAGACGAGACGTCCCTCTTTAAAATGTAAAAAGAGTAAATTATACACAAGTTCATTTAGAACAGAAGCTAACGCCACCTGTAACTCTCTCCTATCTTCCCCCTCCCTCGCCCCTCCCAAACCATTACCAAAGTAGTTATTTAATATTATTGTTCTCTGGGGTAGTGAACTGCCAGGCTCAAGAATTGTGGAATGGTCAAGTTCTGGGAGTAAAAGTGTATTCCTGCGTTTCATAAATCCCAGTCTATAGGAACATTAAATGGATGCTCAGCTTTAGTACGAGTTTTACGGCATTTGCTAAACAATAGGCCAAATAAGCGCGGGCGGTTAGAAGTGTCTCAAGAAAATAACATATAAGGACGATAGACGTTTGATAGGAAAGAAGGATCAAACCATACTAGAGCACCCGCCAACCAACCACGATTGCAAATTCACTGTAGGCTACTTTTTCACCTGTTGCAAAGAAGTTTGGTTATGTCATTTTCCCCTCTCAACCGACAGGCCAATGATCGCCAACGCGCTCGACAACACAAAGTGACCGATTGTGAACTGATCTCGCGGAGACGACCTTTGTGTCTGCAAAACACTGCCCAGCCCTGCACACTCCTAAACTCTTTTCTTTTTCACCAGCCACTCGAATTAAGTGGATATAGTCAAGAAAAACGAATTACCTACCTCTGGTGATTAAAAAGAAGAGATATCTAAAGAATAACAATGATATATTATATGCATAAGTGAAAAGCAGACCAGATGCTTAGGCCTACATATGATTGTGTAGATTGTCTTTAATCAACAAGTGGCTATGGAATTAAGTTAGTGCGATTAAGCATGGCGTATGCAAATAAACGAAGTCGATTAAAAAGTACAATTTTTTAAAGTTTTAATGTCTCATTCTAATTTCAAGGGGACTTGAATTTCAACGTGACTTGAGTTGCAAAAACTTAAAAATGTCCTATTACCCTCTGGGGGGGGGGGGGGGGGGGCACTGCAGTGGCAGTACCACGGTAAGCGAAGTTAATACCGATGTGTGGGCACTGGGTATTGCTATCTGAGGGCAATGGGGGAAGTTAGTGGGATCCGGGAATGAGGGGGTATCGGGAAGGGGGAGGTGGGGTGGGATTAGGAATGAGGAAGAGGGGGTTAGGAGGACGGGTGGTGGGGAACGGGGGTAGGAGGGACGGGGTGATCACTGATTGGGAAACGGGGAGGGAGGGAGGTTTCAGTTGATACGGAGGGTTCGAGAAGAGGGTTGAGTGGATTGGTGGGATGAGGGGATGTTGAGCACGTGACTGTACAAGGGGGAAGGGATGTCATTTATTGGGGGTGTTGGTCTTCGACAACTTCCCTCCCCCCCCCCTGCCACACACACAAAAAGAAGGAAAATTAAACAAAGAAAAACCAAAAAGAGCAATGTACTTTTGAGAATACAAGTAAAAACTACTGCGTTGTTATAAAGCAAATAAAGGGCAAAACACCAGTAGTCTGACTTCAGTCGAGTGCAGGCGCAATATTTTCATCCTTTCCCTTCATTTGGTTCCAAAAAGAGTCAAATTGTCCAGTCCATGCATGGTGAATTTAAATTATGTCAGAGTATAGAGTCTTGGGTGTTTTGAAACAAGTCGAGACGTGCTTTGTATTATCAAGACTAAAAACCCGTTCTACGAACGGTGATATAGTGATAGGAAATCCAAAGATAAAATGTTTTACCGGATTCACTGCGACATCTGTGTAGACAATATTGGTGGCATAATATGCGCCATCTGGAACTCCGTCCTGGGCAGCAGGTCTGTTTGCATGTATTCTAACAGAGTCCCTGAACCCAACACCACTCATTGCGACATACAAATGTCCATGAGAAAAAAAATCCCCCTGTAAAGAAACCCCCATCCTTTTCTGCTTTGATAGCAATCTTTGCAAAAGCAGATCTAACTGTCCAGCAGTGGGAAGAAGACTTCTTAATCGGTGGTACAGGTTACACTGGATTTTGAAGGTTGGATTGAAGCTCTGTTCAGCTTGTTCACTGCACCTAATTGAAGCAAGGGCGAGAGCATCTGTGTTACATCGTAATACGTTATTATTAGTTCCTGAAGGGGTGCGGGAGGTACAGGTATACTAACTTTGCCATTTTGACAGCAGAATGTGTTTCTCTCTTCTCTCCATCTTATGGCATTGCAATGTTCACAGACGACATTGAATCACCATAGTCAAGTATCCGTAATCTCCGATCAACTAACTTCAGTTTTACTAAAAGACAGTGCGTTGCACGCTAAGGCCACCGTTTGCCAATTATTTTTTTGCCCAGCACACTCAAGATCTCCTTCCGGATTCTGACTATTAGAACGTAAATTCTGATTGATAGACTCCTTTCTCCGTTTCCTATCGCTTTCATCTCTGTTTCGTGGGGTTAAACAAACTCTACGTTCAGGGGGGATCTTACTACATTATTAACTAATATTCCATGGGCATCTTTACCCCGAACAGATTTCGATCTAGATTGACATCTTCTTGTTAACCACTCCAAAGCAGTCTTGAATTCTGTTCTCCAAATGCATCTAGGATATATAGATCTAGATCTAGATCTAGAGCCTAGTTCTATAAAAAAGCTACGCAGAAAATACGCCCCAACTTTTGAAAACGTGAGTACAGTTTGTGAATTTAAACGAAATCAACGTGTTGGGGACATCACAGATTCACTACCAGGGATGGCTCATGGGTCTTAAAAGTGGGCGTGCACAATTAAGTTAAAGCAGGTTGAAGTAGTCAATGGCAGGGTAAATGAGATGTTTTCTCCATCCTATCTGTTTTGAGAAAATCTTTTTGAAGAAGAAGTCTTCATTTCGTTCTTTTGCTGCAGCACAAGTGTCCATTATGCTGTTGACGAATTTGGACGTGCTGTCAATGATGTCCTTGTGGATCGACATAAACGTCAGTGCGATTTCTAGGATTTTGCATACTTCTCTAAATGTTGTGTCGAGTTTGTAGTTCTTCAGAGTTGAATAAAGGCCCTGGATTGTACGACCTTGAGCAGACTTAAATAGTTCATTGCAATGTAATACATTAGTACTTATAATTTTGTCTGTAACTTGATTTTTATGCAAAACAGTAATATTTCTGTAAACGATCCTAAACGAACAGTACGAAACGACTTTTGGTAGTCCTGGAATTTGGAGGAGTCAAAGATTGATAGTGCATTGAATTTATTTTGCTTCAAGAAACTGTCAACAATTTGAGAAACTATTATGTCTCAGGCGTGCTTTGCAGCAAGTTCGTTGGTGTTGTAATGTCTGCACTTCTTGGAAGCGTGTTTCTCTGTGGTCTGTTTTGTTGACAGAACACGTATACTGATTCTAATTTCATCGACGGCTACTTTAAACGTGTCTAGAGCTTGTTAGGTTGCTATGGGCGTTGTACTTCTGTGTTAGAGGCTCCCATAAACAGCGTCAAGGTGCATGAACACTTTGTAGAAAAAGTGAAAAAAGAAGAGAAACGTTTCGCTCTTTAATACATTCAGGATACCATCGTGGATAGAATTATCGTCCCACTGCTCAGACTGAATTTCTGCATGACAAAGCTGGATCTCTACTTTCCAAATGAAGACTGTGCTAATTGGTTGAGACTGTAAGTTCTCACTTTGTCTCAGACGGCCATTGAATATTCCGGTGACAAACGTGTCTGAGAACGCCGGTGCATTTTGTAGAGTAGGCAAAAAGTGTCGAAGAGCCTGTATCGCGTTGGCGAAAAATGCCTCTGTTCCCCGACAAATCACCCTTTTCATGACCGCGAAGGGCGAGTTTGTGAGTTTCACAGAACAAAATACACTTGATAACCTTACGCAATACGTGTCTCACCAGTTCGTTATTGTGAGACGTTGCAATGCAATGACCAACGACTAGCTGCACTGCTATGCCTACTTGTCCGAAAGTATGATACTTAACGGCATTGGTTATGTGCGCTCTTGATGACTCGTGACTTTAATACGTTGTTTCACAAGGACATGATCAGTAAAACCTGTCTTAGACTACTTGGGGTTCTCAGTTCCAAAAAGCAGACAAGAGAAACAGCAGGCCTACAGTGAGTATTTGCTAACGCTGACTGTAAGCCACTCCACTTTTTGTTGGTTGAATTATTTTGATATCTTTGGGTTGGTGGGGGACTTAATTCTTCCACTCTCTTCTTGTTACTTTGTTCGGTGAACAGATTTTATTTGCAATTAATTTCATTCATCCAGCACTGGAATACACACCCGAGTAATAAAACTTTCACCACTACACCATTCCAACTTCTAACACGGTGACCTAATTACGCCATGTTGACCTCGCTCACGTTCTAGGTTACAG